TCAGTAGCGGCGGCAGCAGCTAAATTACGACAACCACAGCAGCAGGATCACCTGCAGGAGTAGCAGCAGCAGCAACGACGACCGCAATAGCAATAAACAAATTCCAAGTGGGGCCAGAGCTACCCTGAGAGCCGTTCTCTCACACCCATCCAAGGGAGGCGTTCTCCACCCACTGCTGCCATTGTTTCCTTCTTATCCATTCTTTCGTTATCTCTCCACACATGTCGCTGCACCCACAAAACAACAACAACAACAACAACAACAACAACAACAACAACAATCGTCGAGAACCCCAATCGGTGTCGCAAACACTTGGAGCAACACAACGGGAGCATAACAGCAGTGTATTCCGGCTACGAGGCGGGCCGGGCACACAGATACTGGCCTACCGTACCTGCCTATACAACAAAAAACAGGAACAGAACCAAACACGGTCAAGTTCGCGAACTGAGACCAACGAGAGGAAGCAGGGCCGGAAGAGCCCCGCCGCACGGCCGTGGGTTGAACTCTTGGCTGCTGCTGTAACGCAACAAACCAGGCCCAGTATCCAGTAAGATTTGATCACCAACTCTTCGCCAAGCCTTTCAACTAATAACACATGCCCTTCGGCTGCTGTGGCATTATCTCGAACGGGAACAGGAGTCTTTCGGTGATATTGCGTACCACGAAATACTACTAGAAAGTACTGGTACACCTTCAATCACAGAGAGAACACCCGTTCCGAAACCACAGTATAAAAAAAAAAGCAAGAACAACGAGCGCACCACGCACCATCGGCAGAACGCGGTCGTAGCCGAAGTAGGAGGTCACGTAAAGGGCGAAGTCTCCGAGGCAGTCGGTGGAGAAAGCACGAGATGCAAGGGTGAGCTTCTGCGCCTGGTCCACCAAGGCCCCCACGATCTTAGGGTGGCAATGTCCCTGATAGGGGGCACGGGGCATGGAAATCGGGTTGGGGGGGGGGGTCGGGGGGATTTCGTTCGTGTTGAGAGGGAACACTCGTTCCCAAACGGGATTATATTGTGTCAGACGACGCGCACAAAGCAACATGCATGTGGTGTTGGTGGAAGGAAGCACTGGTGCAGTTGTGTAGTAGGAAGGCGTGCCTGCTGTCGGGTACGCGGGGGGGTTGCGCCTTGTTTATCATGCATGACGGTGGTCTCCCGGCCGTAAACCACAGGACCTCGCGTCCGTCCCAAGACGGGGCTAAGGCACCACGTCGGGTACTCCCCGATCAGGCCGGCCCTGGCATTACGCCTGGCGCGAAAATCATCGCAACGGGGTGATCCCCCCTCAACAAACACCGCTCGCGATTCTGGCGTGAGGCCGCCGGCCGCCGGTGCTTTGCGCTCACGATGGGTGATACGACAATGGCTTGTAACGACGTGATGGCTTTTTGAGCCCTGGGCACTTCCAGAGCACGTTGCGCACGAGAATACTACTAAGATTGACATGCCTTTGTGTCTCAAGAGCTTTAAGGGCCGGAATCAAACCATGATGAGGCTAGTCAGCGCTGACTAGTGTTTGATTTCGGCTCCTTTAGATGCACGGTGAGGAAAGGGGGGATGTGATGTACGTGTTTGACCCGTTGCTTTTTTCGGCATCAGTTTCTCGGCCGTCACCGCTTCTTCCGGAGAACAACGAAGCCCCACTTTTGAGCTTAATACTGTCACAAGAAAGAGAGAAGCGATACTACTGGCGACCGTGGCAGAGAGAGAGAGAGAGAGAGAGAGAGAGAGAGAGAGAGAGAGAGAGAGAGAGAGAGAGAGAGAGAGAGA